TCAGGCATTCCTTGTAGAAAATACCTAATTTTAGAATTTGAAATTTGATTTTGAGAAGTTTGTCAAATATCAAAGTCTTAAAACCTTTGATATCAAAAATAAGATCACAAGTCATAATAATCATTTATTTAGCCCAAGTGATAATTGAAATATTTCAAAAAGCATAATCCTTTACTCTTTGAAAGAGAGGAGATTCAGTTTTTCAAATAATCTATCTCTCTCCTTTTTACGTTTTTTATAGTTTATTCAAAGATAAACATCAGCCTTTTATCTCATTAATACTGTATTGTTCAAGCGAGAAAATGAAATTCTACGTTGCATAAACAGCTTCATCTAATCTCAGTCAGCCTTGACCATGCAAGATAAGATTTCGATAAACTTTTAATAATCTTTTACAGTTTTTCCCATTCTCTTTTCCCAAATTCCTGTATTCATTCAATTCTATTATTTTTTAAAATCCTTTCACCTTAGAGCACCTTTTTTTCATTGTTGTTTGTTTGTTTGAGACAGTCTCATTCTATTGCTCAGGAGGGAGTGCAGTGACACAATGTCTGCTCATTGCAACCTTTGCCTCCTGGGTTCAAGTGATTGTCTTGCTTCAGCCTCCTCAGTAGCTGGTACTACAGGCACCCGTCACTACGCTGGGGAATTTTTCTTTTGTGTTTTTAGTAGAAATGGGGTTTCACCATGTTAGTCAGGCTGGTCTTGAACTCCTGACCTCAGGTGATCTGCCTGCCTCAGCCTCCCAAAGTGCTAGGATTACAGGCGTGAGCCACTGCACCCAGCCACCCTTTTTTTTTTTTTTTTTTTACATTAAGTTCCAGGATACAAGTGCAGAACATGTAGGTTTGTTACATAGATACGTGTGTCATGGTGGTTTGTGGCACCTGTCAACCAATCATCTAGGTTTTAGGCCCTGCATGCATTAACTATTTGTCCTAATGTCCTCCCTCCCCTCACCCTCACTCCCTGGCAGGCCCCCGTGTGTAATGTCCTCCTCCCTATGTCCATGTGTTCTCATCATTCAACTCCCACTTATGAGAGAACATGTGGAGTTTGGCATTCTATTCCTGTGTGAGTTTGCTGAGGATGATGGCTTCCAGCTTCATCCATGTCCCTGAAAAGGACATGAACTCATTCTTTTTTATCACTGCATAGAATTTCATGGTGTATATGTGCCACATTTCTTTATCCAGTCTATCATTGATGGACATTTGGGTTGGTTCCAAGTCTTTGCTATTGCATATGCATGTGTCTTTATAATAGAATGATTTGTATTCCTGTGGGTATATACCCAGTAATGGGATTGCTGGGTCAAATGGTATTTCTGGTTCCAGATCCTTGAGGAATCATCACACTGTCTTCCAAGACCTTTGTCAGATGGATAAATTGCAAACATTTTCTCCCATTCTGTAGGTTGCCTGTTCACTTTGATGATAGTTTCTTTTGCTGTGCAGAAGCTCTTTAGTTTAATTATATCCCGTTTGTCAATTCTGGCTTTTGTTGCCGTTGCTTTTGGTGTTTTTGTCATGAATTCTTTGCCCATGCCTATGACCTGAATGGTATTGCCTAGGTTTTCTTCTAGGGTTTTTATGGTTTTGCATTTTACACTTAAGTCTTTAATCCATCTTGAGTTAATTTTTGTATAAGTTATAAGGAAGAGGTCCAGTTTTAGTCTTCTGCATATGGCTATCCAGTTTTCCAGCACCATTTATTGAATACGGAATCTTTTCCCCATTGTTTTTGTCAGGTTTCTCAAAAGATCAGATGGTTGTAGTGTGGTGTTGTTTCTGAGGTCTCTGTTCTGTTCCACTGGTCTATATGTCTGTTTTGGTACCAGTACCGTGCTGTTTTGGTTACTGTAGCATTGTAATATAGTTTTAAGTCAGGTAGGTGTGATACCCTCAGCTTTGTTCTTTTTGCTTAGGATTGTCTTGGCTATATAGGCTCTTTTTTGGTTCCATATGAAATATAAAGTAGTTTTTTCTAATTCTATGAAGAATGTCAGTGGTAGTTTGATGGGAATAGCATTGAATCTATAAATTACTTTGGGTAGTATGACCATTTTTACAATATTTATTCTTCCTATCTATGAGGATGGAATGTTTTTTCATTTGTTTGTGTCCTCTCTTATTTCCTTGAGCAGTGGTTTACAGTTCTCCTTGAAGAGATCCTTCACATCCCTTGTCAGCTGTATTCCTAGGTATTTTACTCTCTTTTTAGCCATTGTGAATGGAAGTTCATATTTGATTTGGCTCTCTGCTTGTCTATTGTTGGCATGTAGGAATGCTTGTGATTTTTGCACATTGATTTTGTATCCTGAGACTTTGCTGAAGTTGCTTATGACTCTGAACTCCTTAAGACTTTGCCTAAGGAGTTTTGGGTCTGAGATGATGGGTTTTCTTTTCTCTTTCTATTTTGAAATTGAATCTCACTCTGTTACCCAGCCTGGAATGCAGCGGCACAATCTTGGCTCACTGCAACCTCCACCTCCTGGGTTCAAGAGATTCTCCTGCCTCAGTCTGCTGAGTAGCTGGGATTACACGCCTGTGCCACCACACCTGGCTAATTTGCATATTTTCAATAGAGATGGGGTTTCACCATGTTGGTCAGCGGGACCTTGTGATCTGCTCGGCTCAGCCTCCCAAAGTGCTAGGATTACAGGCATGAGCCACCGCACCTAGCCTAGGGTTTTCTAAATATACAATCATGCTGTCTGCAAACAGAGACAATTAGACTTCCTCTCTTCCTATTTGAATACCCTTTGTTTCTTTCTCTTGCCTGACTGCCTTGGCCAGAACTTCCAATACTATGTTGAATAGGAGTGGTGAGAGAGGGCATCCTTGTCTTGTGCCGGGTTTTCAAGTGAATGCTTCCAGCTTTTGCCCATTCAGTATGATATTGGCTGTGGGTTTGTCATAAATAGCTCTTATTACATTGAGATATGTTCCATCAATGCCTAGTTTATTGAGAGTTTTTAACATGAAGAGATGTTGAATTTTATCAAAGACCTTTTCTGCATCTATTGAGATGATCATGTGGCTTTTATACATATCTACAGATAACACTTCTGATCATTAGAAAATGATCCACTTGTGTTCAGAGGTTCTAAGACAGCATAAACACCTCATTATGAGTTGATTGTGATTATACACCTCATTTCTCTCACAGTGCTCCTCTGCTAATGCTTCTGGGAGACGGCTTCATACTGCCAGCGCCAGGAGGGGAGAGAAGAGAAAAGGGAGTCTCTCCACACCTTCCGGGGGCGTCTTGGTGTTGTGTGTGGTTGGGAGGGACAAATTTGGTGGTCCTCAGTCACAGCCTCCTCTTACAGCTGCCGCCTTCATCCCTGGAATCCTGTTCAATAGGAACCCTGAGATAAGTTATGGGGGTGAAGTGCACACATAACCCTGCGCCACAAACTAGGCTCTGGATGCCACAGGACAATCGCTTACCCGGGCAACACCACCTGGCTGAAGATGGACAGGTACCGGGGCTCCAGCTGCTTCCAGCCCCTCTAGGAAGAGGCTCTCTCGGTGGTGGATTCGCTCGCCCCCTACCAGGAGGGAGCCGCCGCGGGGTTGAAGGCCATAGTGGATTGCTGGCCTAATAGGTCACAGCTCCCTCCATGATTTTGAAATGTTGGTCTGTTAACCTTCTAGAAGGGTGCTAGGTCTCCCCCTTTACCCTGACCCCAACTTTAGAGTTGTGGTGTACAAGCGCTGTATTTTCTGAAATTATATCCCAAAGGAATATTTTCAGTGACATAATCAAGTTTAAGTGTTAAGAACTAGGGCCCTGGAATAAAATGTGCATTAAAATCCTGGTTTGACCACTTACTATGTTACCTTCAGCAAGGTGGTTCACTACAGCTCAGTTTTCTCATCTATAAAATGTGAAAAATAATAGCCCTTACAGAATTATGAGATAGGACATACTAACACAGTTTCTGTACATTACCTTAAAAAACAAACCAAATATTGTGTTACTTAGATGCCGTCACAACATTTTAAAAGTCATTGAAAGTAAATGCTATTTCTTATAATGCCTCCTTAGTGGGAAATTTTGTGCATTTCACATTAGATTATCACACATCTAACGTCAAGGTCCTGTTTACATTTTATAATGTAAAAACCTTAGATACTGTGGAATATTTAAGACTTGAATCATCCCTTTCTACCCTCTTTCATATACTATGGCTCTCTATACTATAGTCTTTTCTGTAGAGAGCAGCCAGCAGCAATGAAATAACATTTCAGGACCACTATTTCCAGTACTAAATTCCTCAGTAATCTTTCACAATTGCCAGTGGCCAGAGAATCCTGTCCAGTTCTGTTAGGAGAGCTCCCTATAGTCCCTATCAACCTACCCCAGTAGGGTGCCAAAAACCAGTAAAAGCCTGGTTATATTAAGTCTCGCCTCCAACTTCTGAGGTTTAGTTCAAGTTGAACAACTTTTCTCAGTCTTAACCCAATTTTTGTTTAATTCTGTTTTCTTCCTGTCTTACTTCAGTCTCTGGATTCTGGCATGCTCTTCTGGTTTCTTACTTCCTGGTATGACCTCTGGACACAGATTTTGGCCTCATATAGGAATGCTACCATTACATATGCCCTCATTTGACATGATTAACTTAACATGACCATTTAATTTAGTTTTGTGGTCTTTAGTTTTTAAAGGGATGCTCTGAAAACACTGTTCTGCAGTGCACTGTGCAAGCTATTTCACTCCTGGCTTTAGCTGATCTCACCTTGTGCAAAACTAGGAAAATTAACTAGGGCTGATTATCAGTCTCTTTTCTTAAATCTTCCTTTTCTTCCCACACTGTAATCGTAGTTATTTCACCAATCTCTGTTTCTCTACATTGCACTAATAAATAGACTACCCTACTTATTAGCCCCCCTAAATGTAGCTCTTTTGGTTTGACTTTAGTAGTCAATGAAAGGGCACATCCCCAGTCTCACAGAAAGCACACACATACAGATGAAGACCAGACACTGATCTTTCAGTCTTCCATCTTGTCCAATATTTATTTTTTATTTAATGTTTTTCACATTGTTCTATTTCCTCAGCATTTACATACAAACTTAAATTCCTTACATTAATAGGTTTTCCCTCCTGTGAATTCTCTGGTGCTGACTAAGGTGTGAGCTCTGACTGAAGGCTCTCCCACACTCACTGCATTCATAGGGTTTTTCTCCAGTGTGGATTCTCAAATGTCGAATAAGATGTGAGCTCACTCGGAAAGTTTTCCCACATTCACTACACTCGTAGGGTTTCTCTCTGGTGTGAATTCTCTGATGCAGGATAAGATGTGAGTTCAGGCTGAATGCTCTCCCACATTCTTTGCATCCAAAGGGTCTTTCCCCAGTGTGAATTCGCTGATGTCTAATAAGATCTGAGCTCCCTGCAAAGCCTTTGCCACATTCATTACATTCATAGGGTCTCTCTCCGGTGTGGATTCTCTGATGCCTAACAAGTTTTGAGCTGTGCCTGAAAGCTTTCCCACATTCATTACACTTATGAGTTTTCTCTCCACTGAAAACTGCTGCATGTTTAGCAAGCTTTTGGCTCTTGAAAGATTTTCCACGTTGGTGAATTTTTTCTCCAGCATAAATTCTTTGATGGTTAATAAAATCTGAGTTCCATTTGAAGCTCTGGTCACAGGTACCATGTTTATAAGATTTCTGGTGTGTGAATTCATTTGAGTTCAGATTTAATCTCCTCTCACATCCATCATGGCTTTTTATTTCACCTCTGACTATATTTTTGTGGCTAAGGATTTTACCAAAATCTCCGTCCTGGGTAGATGATGGTTTCTGAGACTCCCCTGATTCTTTTTCCCATTGCCTCTTTACCTTGCCTGCAGACCTACAGATGTCTTGAGATTCACCAGATGCTTCTGATACGTATCCTGAGATTCTTCCAGATACAATTCTCTGTGATTCAATTTTTTCAAAAATTTCCAGCTTTGGCATGGATCTACTGTTTTCACTCTCAGTATCTAAAATAAAAAAGAAAGAGGTAAATATCACCTGTTTGCTGCACTAGAAGAAAAGAAAATTTTGCAGCATGCTCAGGATAGTTACATATTGATATGCTCACTTTAATATATTACCTTTCACATGAGAGGAATGAGAGAATGAAAGAGGATGATAGGAATGAAAGAAACATTGATAAGAGCAAGTAATGCCTGCAGTGATTGGCAGCGAGAGGAATCAGCCATGTGAAATACATATATTAGAAAAGATTGGGAGGAGGAGTGCCATCAGCAAGAACTGGGAAATAGGAGGAGACAGAGTAAGGAGAAAGAACTCTACAATGTTGACCGAAAGAGATCTTGGGAACCTTGGGTCTATGATACGTTTCTCATGTTAGACTTACAGGGAAAATGGAGGCACTACCTCAAAGAAAGCAGATGAGGACAGAAGAGAGAAAAGTAAAGCTGTAAAGACCCTGAAGTATCTGTAAGAAAACTTCCATCCACCCCGTCATCTATTTCTTCCTCCTATTCCATGTTTAATCAGTCTTCCAAATTCTGTCATCACTGTCCACTAAGTGTATCTTGTGTAAATCCCTTCCTTTACATTTCTGCTACCGTCACCATAGTCTAGAACCTCACCATTTCCTATCTAGAGACTTTAACTGCCTCTTTGCTGTTTTGACCCTGTACTTTTCTTCTTCCTAGTTATCCTAAAGATCCTTTTTAGACTAATAGACATTAAACACTGCCATCCTTTCATACCCTACTCAGAAACCTTGAATCTTTTTCTGTTACAAGTCTAAACTTCCAAGCCTGGTTTCCAAGGTCGATTTATGATCCTGTCTTCACAAATCTCACCTTGTAGCTCACAACTCTACACTGCGCTAGAGTTGAACAGCCCTTCTTTGTTACAAGGTTTCCTTTGTCTAAAAAACGCTAGGGTAGGAAAGAGGGTTAGGGAGTGCTGTTCGTGGTGTGAGGAAACTTTACAATTTTTTATTGAATAGATGGAGATGTTTCTAGAACATAACTGAAGGCAGAATACGTAGAAATGTATTAAAAATTAATCGTGGCTGGTCGTGGTGGCTCACTCTGCAATCCCAGAACTTTGGAAGGCCAAGGTGGGAGGATAATGAGGTCGGGAGTTTGAGACCAGCCTGGCCAACTTGGTGAAACTACATTTCTACTAAAACACAAAAATTAGCCAGGCATGGTGGCAGGCACCTGTAATCCCAGCTACTCAGGAGGCCGAGGTGGGAGAATCGCTTGAACCCGGGAGGTGGAGGTTGCAGTGAGCCGAGATCACACCACTGCACTCCAGCCTGGGTGACAGAGCAAGACTCTGTCTTGGGGGAAAAAAAATACAGATGATAGAACAGAGATGAGTATTCTATGGAAGTAGTCTCTAGAAGTATAGCTAACTTTCTATAAAAGTATAAAAGAGCATTATAAGACCAAGAGCATAAGAGGAAAACTATGAATCACAGTCTATGTAACCTGTGAATTATATACTATTTCTCAGTACATTATCACGTATCTGTTTCTCTTGATCATTTTATGTACTTCTCTATGAACATGTTTTGCTTCTGTCCATGTATTTCTTTTTCTTTTGCGTCTTTTCTCTTTTTATGATATTTTCTCAACTCATTTTTTATTTTCTTTAATTTGGTCATATCATAAAAATGTTCTATGTTTTGGAAATATTCTGGATAAGGAACAAAATTATCTTTTGCCCCACAATTGGCCAAAGACTCATAGAAAACAAGTTCTCTCTTTTCATTGGGTAATAATGGAAAGGATCACCTACAGTTACCAGGACTAGTCTGTGGAGGGAGATTCATTCTCCTGTTTCTTCAGTGATGTGCACTGGATGGCCTTCTGCCCCTTACCACAGTCCTGTAACAGCTGGGGTTCTGATGAAGTAAAATGGGCTTTGGTTTCCACTGGCTGTAACTGGATACTAAGTGCTGGTCCAGGAGGTGACACCTTTTTCCTGAATATTTCTTGTCCATGTTCATGGGCTTGAACCTGAGAAAAATAAAGTACATTTGGGCTTGTAAAAGAATCCTAGTGTTAAACATCTTCTAATAACAAAGAGAAACTTCCATAGGAAAACAAAGCTGGGGAAGGAAGAATTGAGTCTGAGTCAATTGTAAAATGTAGTGTGGAATCAGACAGGAAAGGAGACATAAATGCACAATGAACCAAGAGCTCCTGAAAGCCAGATACTCAATCTCAGGCCATCTCCTCCCACTGTGGGACTTTATCCACTATGGAGGTCTTAGATCTCCCTTCCCCTATGCACCTGGAGTACTGCTTCATCACTGCTTCTCTCCAAATCTTCCAGTATGGTCACTGCCTCCTCTCCACTCTCTGGGTAATGTTCCTGAACCCAGGCCTGCAAATCCCCTGGCAGGATGGTCAGGAACTGCTCCAGTACCAGCAGTTCCAGAATCTGCTCCTTGGTATGGATCTCTGGCTTCAACCACTGACAGCAGAGCTCCCGGAGTCGGCTCAGTGCCTCGCGAGGTCCAGGGGACTCCTGGTAGCAGAACTGCCTAAAAAGCTGCCTGCAGAGCTCCTGCCTGAGGAGTTCACTTCTCTGTAAGCAAGTGTCCTGCCTGTGGATAAATTCTTCCTCTTCTATCTTCAGTATCAGAAGTCCTTCATCCTCTGGAGAGTTCTGGGCTGCAGCTTTCTTTGACTTGGTAGCCATCTCTGGATAGAATATTTTATCAGAAACCCACTTCTGCTTTGGGAAGGGTCTTCTTTAGTTTCAAGAGTTCTCCTGAGGGATCAAAAATTACTATTACTGTCTAAGAAGATGAAAGACCACATCATAAAAATCATCATTCTCCATTACACAAAAGTTTACTGGGCATTTATTGTATCCAAAAAGCACTGGCATACTTGCTCTGTAGAATACAACTGTTAGGATTTCTACTTCAAGACAGGTTAAGATTTAAATTTAAAAATATGGTAATTTAAATTAGAAACAAGAAACTTAAATGTAATACTAAATATTATCAAGGTACATGTTATTAAATTTTAAAAGTCCCAGAGAAAATAAGGCTGTAAAATGAAAAATTATAGAAGTGCTTCATAAAATAGGATGTGGGAAAAATACAGTTGGTTGCAATGGTCAAGGGAAACCTAATGAAAAAATGAAATTCCGAAGAACAGAAGATTTGACTAGGATGTGAGAGAGAAAGAAATGGGAAATTAGAAACAGTCTGAACAACTGAATAAGGGTAGGTCTACAGAAGTGGAAAAGCAAAACGGTTAGTAGGTTTGTAAAAAAAAATCATAGAGGCAACGCTTGGAGCCATACTGTAGAAAACATCAAATGTCAAGTTCATGAATTTGGAGTTTATCTTTTAGGCACTGAGGAGTCATTGAAGAGGAGTCAATTTTTCTGAGCAGAATGACCTGCTGAACACTGTGGAGATAAATGTTCTTCATTTCTAGGGTGGGTTGTAATATGAAAAATATGAAAAGCTAGAGGTCACTGTAAGTATGAGGTTCATGCAAGTATGAGGTTCTTTTATTTTGTTTTGTTTTAGAGATGAGGTCTTGCTCTGTCACCCAGGCTGGAGTGTAGTGGAGTAATCTTGGCTCAATGCAACCTCCACCTCCCAGGTTCAAGTGATTATCCTGCTCAGCCTCCTGAATAGCTGGGATTTTTGATGCACACTACCATGCCTGGCTAATTTTTTGTATTTTTAGTAGAGATGGGATTTCACCATGTTGGCGAAGCTGGTGTCTAACTTCTGACCTTGTGATCCTCTCACCTCGGCCTCCCAAAGTGCTGGGATTACAAGTGTGAGCCACTGTGCCTGGCCTGAGTTTCTTTTACTAAACATTTCACTAAGTTGACTATTGACTGATGCAATAACATACATTTTATTAAGAACCTTATTATAAGCAAAGCATTGGGCTAGAAGTTGTACAGCATTGGCTTACAAGAAAGTCTGAATACAACACTGAGCTTGCTGCCTAATCAAGATATGGGATCTTTGTTAGAAACAGGTTCTTGGGCCCTGCTCCTAGAGATGGTAACTTGGTCAGTATGGCATATGCCTGGAAAATCTGTATTCTAAAATACAGCTTAATAGATTAAACAAAAAGTGTTTGAGTTTGTGAACTAGTTGGGAAGAAATCACAAAACAACACAAGGATATAAAACATTTAAATGAGAAAATGTTTCATGACACATGCATTGTATGTTTCATATGACACATACATTGTATATGTTTGTTACATGTTGAATGTTGAAGTATGAAATGAGTTTATGGTGGAGATACTAAATGTTCTAACTGTCCTGAGGTGGGAAGAGACTGTGAATGGTAGAAGGTATGTTCTAGAGGTTGTGGGGCTTAAATTGGACAAAGAAGGATGAGAGAGATTCAGGAAAGAGAGGACAGGAAGAGTTGAGGAAGTGGGAATGAGCAGCAGGTTAATGGTGAGATCAGCTTGCAGGGTGTGATGACTGGAGTGACTAAGAATTCTACTGGCACTGTTAAGAAAGTCCTCAACTCTAGACTGAGTTCTTAAAATTACTAACACATACATATATAAATATATAAGTCCTTGTATTATTTTTAGTTGTTTGGCTGTTTGTGTGTGTGTGTGTGTTTTTTTTTTCCTATCAACTGACTGCTGTTCCATGAAGTTAAGGACTAGGCATTATTAATTGTTTTTAAGGCTTCATATTTGTTGACTGAATGAAAGGAAAAATTAGGAAAGTTTCAGATGACTTTGGTTTTGGATAATCTGTACTTAAGATGATAATAAGACATCTATTTGGAAAAATATTTCCAGTAGAAAAAATGATATTTCAGTAATGGAAAAGAACTTGGAATGGGAAGACAGATTTAGACAAGATTCATGAAAGGGGTAGCTGGAAGATATAATCAGTATTAATTCTCCAAGAGTATAAAATAAATATCATAGGTTCAGGCTGAACCTTGGAAAACAAACAGTTCAAGTAGGAACAAAGTTTAGCAATGATAAAGAAAAAAAGGCTATATTAACCAGAGAGTCTCAATCCCTCATATTTTATTTGTCCATTCCTTTGCTATGTCTTGTTGTTTCCTACATGTGCTAACCAAATAGTGTCCTAATGCTTAATAAGCATTATCTCATTTAGCATAGGAAGATGGGAGTAAAGGTGGCCCATATAATCCAAATGAAACTTCAATTATGCTGAGCAGCTGTTTCTACAATATGTTACCTAAGAGAGCTGACAGTCCTATCTCCAGGTGTTTCATCACTTCTCATCCATTTAAAACTGAGTACCCCTAAAGTTAGTAGCTTTAAACTAATAAATATTTATTGAGCATCTTGTGCCTTATATATTGTGTTAGGGGGACTTACAAAAAACAGATGTGTAAACAAACGCTAGGAGAACAGGGAAGAACGAGTAATTAATTATGAGAAAGGCAGAGGTTAAGAGCAGGGTTCCTGTTGGATAAACTGCCTTGGTGGGCATGTTGGAGGAGGGAAAAACGGGACAGAGTTTAGTTGGTGGAGGGAGGGGAGTCAGGGGAAATCCGGTAGAGACCACAAAGCCGAGCAGAGACTTCGAAGTGCCTGCTGGTACAGGCTCCCATAGTACCGGTGTTTCTCAAGGACAAGAGGTTTCACTTCATCCTCAGCACACAGGAAATACTATTTACCGTGTCAACAAAGTTCAGGATAGGCCAGGGTTGTCCCCATATGTCCTACGAAAGGGCGGTTATGCTTCCCAAGGGAAGCAGGAGACGGGGGATGGCCCTCGCAGCAGTTTCTTTTCGCAGACAACTGCAGATCCGAGACACGTGGCGCCCCTTCCCGTTCCATCTGGCTGGACTGGGCCACTCCACTAATCAGTGACCCCAGATTCAGGATCAGCAGGACGCCCCCCTACCCTCCACGCCACCCACGCCCTCTCAGCGCTCCACTATGACGTCACGCGCGGCGGAGGTAACTATGGAGACCGCCAAAAAACGGGAGCGCTCCTGCCCTCCCAACGCCGAAGCTGGTTCCACATTCCTCTGAGGTCCAAGGTCTGGTCACTCATAGGCTGCTAATTTCAAAGGCAATATGAGAGGGACTGGATGTTTGGAGGAGGACACTGGGCCGGACATCTGGGTCCCCAAACCCGGACTCACCTCTCGGACAAGGCTGATTCCGATCGGACACTTCCGGTGGAAGGACGGAGTGGCACTACCCTTCAAGGTTTCCGTCCACAGGGACTTGTGAGTCTGCGCAGAAGACGGGATGCCTTTGAACTACGATTCCCAGAAGCCTTCCTGGGTCTCTTCAGGAGCAGACTTTTCGCCAAAGTTTTCAGGTTCTCAGGGCTTGAAGGAGGGGTCTTTTTTCTCCATTGTAGTAGTGTCTCGCTAGATAACAGAGAGGACTCTTTAAAGGACAATGATGTCTATCCGGCGCGGTGGCTCACGCCTGTAATCCCAGCACTTTGGGAAGCCGAGGCGGGCGGATCACCTGAGGTCAGGCGTTCGAGGCCAGCTTGGCCAACATGGTGAAACCCCATCTTTACTAAAAGTATAAAACTTAGTCGGGCGTGGTGGCGGGCGCCTATAGTCCCAGCTACTTGGGAGGCTGAGACAGGAGAATCGCTTGAACCTAGGAGGTTAAGGTTGCAGTGAGCCGAGATCGCGCCACTGCACTCCAGCCTGTGCGACACAGCAAGACTCGGTCTCAAGAAAGAAAGAAAATGATGTATATTTGGGAATAGGACATTGCAATAGGAATAGACGTGCCAGAGTGAACTGTGTTTCTATTCAGGGATGTTAAAGAAGACAAAGGTTTTTAAAGGAAGAATGAGGAGGATTACATAATTGTTTTGAAATGATTATTCTTGACTACAAAGATCAATAACAAGGGTGACGCCAGTCTGAGGTTAGATAAGCAGTTGCTGGGCGGATGTCCTTGCAGAAATATTTTTGGTGTAAGTTTGTGCTGGCCTTTGTGCAAGGTTGTGGGTTTTGCAGTCATATGTGATAGTTTTCTTAAGAGGCATACAAGCCTGAGAAGTGTCTCTTCATAGGCCTTCCTGGCTCTCTCAGTTTATTGCTTTCGTTTTTTAACACTAGTGGGCTGGGCGTGATGGCTCACCTCTCTAATTCCCCGCTTTTCCAGGCAAAAGTGGGAGGATCAATTGAGCTCAAGAGTTTGAGACCAGTCTGGGCAACAGAGTTGGGACCTCGTCTCTACAAAAATAAAAAAATAAAAAAATAAAAAAAAAATTAGCTGGGGGTTGTGGAGCGAACCTGTACTCCCAGCTGCTCGGGAGGCTGAGGAGGATCCCCTGAGTCCAGGAGGTGGTGGTGGCAGTTGTGAGCTGTGATTGCACCACTGCACTCTAGCCTGGGTGACTCCTGCCTCTGTTTAAATCTCAGGCAGTGAAATTGAAGCCCACACAGCAGGGATGCAGCTGAAACTTCTCCTCCTTTGCAAAACCTTCCTGCATTCCCAGGCAACTTTTCTTTTGAGCCCTTGTTTGATTCATCCTCTTACCCCAGTGGAACTCAGATATTCAAAATGGTATTTGTTATAACCGCTGGCTGTCATTGGTCCATGCATGGCTTTTAAGTGTGAACATTGTTTAATCCATTACCTAGTCTGTAAGAATTATAGATTGACGACTTACATTTAATACTACTCTTTTTCTAGTCTTCTCTGTACTTCCTCTCATCTGAGGACCCACTATCAAAAGTTTTGTGTTTCTTAATCCCTTGCTTTTTAACAAGATAGTTATATTAGGTACATAGTGTTTTGTCCCCTGAAAGTTGTGGCAGGGGAATTCACACAAAGGAGTGCCCCAAACCATCCTAGATGGGCTGGTTGGGATTCCAAAGAAAGAAGCACTATGTGTCAAGAGGATCAGTCCAAAGAATTTATTAAGGGAACTTACATGGTGTTGCAGAAATCCTCCCCACGGATACTGGGAGAAAAGGGGTGTTCTACCTAGATATGTCTGCAGTGAGGGGGTCAGGTTATGGAGTTTATATGAGGGTTTGAAGAATTTGGCTCAGGGCTAGAGCTCGTTTCTTCCAATGTTTTCAGCAACAATTCAGATACCTTTATCAGTGCCTGGAAATATTCAAGGCCCAACCTTGGGTTCAAGCATGCTGGAAAAAATCTGCAGCTGGCTAGGTCCCAGAGAGGTCAAGGCACTCTGATTTTCAGTTACAGAATAGTCAAGGCTTTATAATTTACAGTCAGGATCTGCAATCCATCTTCTTGACTGGCTCTTACAATCTCACATGCCCATCTCTTCCTGTATGTTCCCTGAGCTGGTTGGAAAGCGTGGGATCATCTGCAATTCCTTTCACCTGACTTTATGAAACTCTGCAAACAAAACCCACACTAACAGTAAATGCAGGTGTACATGACAAGATCCAAAATCATATTTCCTAAAAGGCTTGCTAGCAGAGCTTTCCACTAAGGATCTCATCCGGGAAAACTTGATTGTGTGTAGACCACCAGGCATACCTTATGTGGTCAACAAACTGTAATTGCTTTTGTGAATGAAGGACAGATTGATTAACTTCAGCTTCTTTGCTTTGTCTGGAATATACACACAGTGTTCACTTTTGAAAAAGGCACAGGTTCCTCGTTGCACAGATGTCAGCATCTCTAGGGCCATTTGGTTTTGTAGACCACTTTTTTCATTGCAGCTGTTTCAATGTTCAAGACCTCCATACCATGCTTGATGTCATTCAAAGCTGTGGAGACAAATATTTGAAGGGCTTCCAGCTGCTACACGATATCAGAAGAACCTCCTGGAGGCACAAATATAGTCAATAAATAATCTCACCAAGAAAAAACAGGCCTCCACTGACCCCTCCAGATGGACTCATTGAGGGATATGGGAATGGTGTCAGAGATTCTGCAGTCATCCAAGCCACCCCAGGGGAAGCCAGGGCTGGAGGTTAGTAGCACAGAGCCACTGGTTGCTATTTGGGGCAATATAGATAATTCCTGGCCCACAAGACACATTTGTGACAAATCAATCTGTGTCCTTAAGTACAATGATGTGTTTGCATTGGGCAGTTGGGTGGAAACCTAGGTACCCTAGGAGAATACTTTAGGTATCGTTTACCTGAGTGTCTTTAGAGTGATGATGTTGTTCCCAACAGATTTCTGTAACTCAAGAGAGGATCCTTGCTGTGGGGATGAGCTACAGAAAGCCATCCCACATTTGCCAGTATGATCTCCATTGCCAGAACGTGGTGCTCTTCAGGCAGTTTTCACTTTGATAGTTGCCATCTGTGGGACAGGTTTAGGAAAATAACCCCTAAATTTTGTGTGTAGTTGTTCAGTGTCATATCTCAGTCACTCACATTTGTATGTGTGGTGTTAGAGGAATCTAGGGTATCTATTTCTATATATTGTCCAGTTATCCAGGTTTGTACAGAGATCCAGTCTTCACCCAGCAGTGGCTCAGTCTACCATGGAGTTCCTACATGGCTATTCAAGGGCATAAGACCAAACACTCAGCAGTTAGATTGGCCATACGTATGGCTGTGTGGTGGCCCCAGGCCAGGAAAACGTTTTGGAAGGATATCCAGGTGCCAGTGGGAATGACATAACAGCAAAGGAGAAGGCAACTTAAGCTAACAGTGAAAAGACAAAAAATGTATTAGAAACACATAGGGCGTCTCCCACCTTCTGGCATAATAAAACTGGTATTAACTCTGCCCTGCTACAATAATTTTGGTTTCCTTGGGAATCTTCCAGGAGGGCTGTACCAGGACCTCTGCCCAGTGTGGAAGGAGTTATAGACACTACAGTGATAGGGCTGGATGACACCATTCTGGTGTCACTTCGGTTCCCATTGGAATGGGGGTACTGCCTGCCTACTGCCATTGTGCCCCACACCCTTCATTGAAAGGGAAAATGGGGGTCACATCCAGGGAGATGGTGCCCTCCTGCCTCAGGTGAAGAAGGATACCAGTTCAACTTGGTGGCACTGTCCACCCCAGGTCCCATCTCAATGTTCCCTGCCCAGGCATTATGGGACCAGGGGACTGCAAAATCAGGGCATTCATGTGGAACTGAGTTAGGGCTTAATAGAGTGTCTAGTTTTTTCCATACCTGCATGCTTTGCACTGGACTATGTCTACCAGACTTTCATAAACTCTCTGCTCCCATAATAGGGGGCTCGTGCAAGAACATACAGCTTCCATTAAAGCCACAGCCAAATTTGTCAATAAGGGGAATCCAGTCAAGAGCTCAATTTGTTCCTTTAAGATGCCATTTTTTCTCTCTATAAGTCCTGGATTCTAGGGCAGATGAAATAGCCATGTAATGCCCTCCTTTTATGATTAGTTTAAAATCAGGGAGCCTGTGAAATGTGTTCCTTAATCATTGATAATTATTCTGAATTACGATACATTAATTGCAAGTGTTGCAGTCCCTGTATAGTCAAGGTCTGGTTTGCTTTTTTCACAGGGAAAAGCTTGCAAAACGTCACTCACATTGTCTATGCGTGTGAGTGCATATCAGTATCCCTTCTGTGAGGGAGTGGGCCAATATAATCTATTTGCCATGTGTCAATGGCTCTCTCCTCTTTTTATATTTTTAGTGGTCATTGGCACTTGCTGACGATGGACCTGGCAACAAATAGGACAGTTTTGTACTGTCTTTTCTACTTTTGTCTAGACACCGGTAAGCCAGCTTGTTGAGCTCGTCTCCACATAGTATGCAGCCCCCTATGACCTCTCTTCTGATATATGCAGTGTGCTGTGTCTGCTTCTTCAGAGGTGATCACTGACTAGGCCCAGGCCAGAATATTGTCTTATATATTTCCATTATGAGATGATGGTTCGAGCTGCTATATGGAACACTGACTTCAGCCCTTGCTTGTGGCAGTTGGTTCCAAATGTCTGCCCATATTTGTGCTCCCCCAAATGCCTTTCATTTATGGACCATTGATCTTTTTTTCACTGCTGGATTCCTTTTGCTAATATTTATATTTTTTCCCCTCATAATTATGAATGGGATTCATCTAGTTCAATTTTGCCTAGTCTCTGGCAGATTCTGATATTAATGCTGCTCCTTTGCAATACATTTGATAAGTTTTAAAAAGTGTTCTGGGCCGGGCGCGGTGGCTCATGCCTGTAATCCCAACACTTTGGGCGGCCAAGGCGGGTGGATCATGAGGTCAAGAGATCGAGACCATCCTGGTCAACATGATGAAACCCCGTCTCTACTAAAAGTACAAAAAAATTAGCTGGGCATGGTGGTGTGTGCCTGTAATCCCAGCTACTCAGACTGAACCCAGGAGGCGGAGGTTGTGGTGAGCCGAGATTGTGCCATTGCACTCCAGCCTGGGTAACGAGCGAAACTCCATCTCAAAAAAAAAAAAAAAAAAAAAAAGTGTTCTGGCAATTATTTAAGATTTGGTAGAAATACGTTATGAAATCTTCCAAGTTTGGTTCTTGTTGGATGTTAGTTCTTTAAAAAGTTTATTTATTCCATGGAAATCAATCTGTCCAGATTTTTATCTGTCAGTTTTGATAAATTGATTTTCCTAGAAA